GATTGACTAGGAAGCAAGGAAGGGTACAAGTAGAATGTCGAGAGAATTCTGTACCCCCTAAGGCTAAACCCACTATAGCCTAGACAAATGTAAACACATGAACTAAGCCTAGATATAACTAAGCATATATGTTTGACAACGGGTTGTTAGTGGACGTGGCGGATGCAGGAGGGTGTGACGTGGCGGAAGGTGAGGGTTGGGGATGACGTGGTGGTTGGGATGGGTACAAGGGAGCGGCGCATGACGAGACGAGGCGTTTAAGGTGAGGGTTGGGGATGGCGTGGCTTGGGGTGGGGGGGTGTGACGTGGCAAATGGGGCGGGTTGTTGGTGGACGTGGCGGATGCAGGAGGGTGTGACGTGGCGGAAGGTGAAGGTTGGGGATGATGTGGCGGTTTGAAAAGGCACACGTGAGCGGCGCATGACGAAGCGAGGCGTGTCAGGTGGGTGGGGGGTGACGTGGCTTGTGGTAGGGGGGTGTGATGTGGCAAGTGGGGCGGGTTGTTGGTGGACGTGGCGGATGCAGGTGGGTGTGACGTGGCAGTTGGGATGGGTACAAGGGAGCGGCGCATGACAAGACGAGGCGTTTAAGGTGAGGGTTGGGGATGACGTGGCTTGGGGTGGGGGGGTGTGACGTGGCAAATGGGGCGGGTTGTTGGTGGACATGGCGGATGCAGGAGGGTGTGACGTGGCGGAAGGTGAGGGTTGGGGATGACGTGGCGGTTTGAAAGGGCACACGTGAGCGGCGCATGTCGAAGCGAGGTGTGTCAGGTGGGTGGGGGGTGACGTGGCTTGTGGTAGGGGGGTGTGATGTGGCAAGTGGGGCGGGTTGTTGGTGGACGTGGCGGATGCAGGAGGGTGTAACGTGGCGGAAGGTGAGGGTTGGGGATGACGTGGCGGTTTGAAAGAGTACACGTGAGCGGCGCATGACGAAGCGAGGCGTGTCAGGTGGGTGGGGGGTGACGTGGCTTGTGGTAGGGGGGTGTGACGTGGCAAGTGGGGCGGGTTGTTGGTGGACATGGGGGATGGCATAGGGTGTGACGTGGCAAGTTCACACAGTGTTGCTAGTCACCATCCCCTGGTCACGCGGCCACCCTCATAACTGCTGGTTTCTCACTCCTCTGTCTATCACCCACTCGCTCTCAGCTCCACCTTCGGACGAGTCCGTAGAGCCGAGTGGTCCGTACCCAGAGCTTGTGGGTTGCCTCATGTACCTGATGACGTGCACACAACCTGACCTCTCGTACCCTCTCAGCGTTCTGGCTCGCTACGTGGCTCCCGGTAGGCACCGAAAGGTTCACTGGGATGCTGCGAAGAGGGTACTGCGCTACTTGTGCAGTACGTCGGGCATGGGGCTCGTGCTTGGAGGACGGGGTCCAGTTGTCCTCACCGGTCACGCAGACGCTTCCCGAGTTGACGACTCAGCTACGCAGCAGTCGTCACAGGGTTACACCTTCAGCCTCGGTTCCGGCTCTGTTTCCTGGCAGTCCATCTGCTCATCTTCGGTTCTCAGCTCTAGTTGTGAGGCTGAGATCTACGCCGGGGCCATGGCTGCACAGGAGCTACGCTGGCTCACCTACCTGCTGACTGACTTGGGAGAGCAGCCTCGTTCGCCTCTATTCTGTATGTAGACAACAAGGCCATGATTGCCTTGTGTCAGGAGCACAGAGTGGAGCACAGAACGAAGCACATCGCTCTGCGATACTTCCTTGCTCGAGAGTTGCAGCAGCGTGGCCAGCTTCGTCTTGCGTACATGGCCTCTAGGGCCAACACTGCTGATATATTCACCAAGGCATTTCCGCCTCGTGATCATCAGCGCTTTGTTACTGTGTTAGGCCTTGTGCCTACTTTGCCTCACTTGCTTACTGCGTGACTTTGTTTGTACTGTGATCTCTATATATACCTGTATGCTTGCACTTGCAAGGGTATGATCACTGTATTGTTTGTTCTCTTTTATATAACTCTCTGCATGTGAACCAGCCTTGTGGCCCTTTGCTTGTGATTGGAATGTGTGGTGACTTTGTGATCCACCCTGAGCTTGCTTTGCTTTTCTTGACTGGTCCTGTGACCACTTGTTCTCCCCCACTTTGCCTATGGGGGTGTGTTAGAACATTATATTGCTTACTTTGTGTAGGCTATAGTGGGGTAGCCCATAAGGGGTACAACCCAATTAGGGTTAGTAATTGTACCCAACTCTTTGCTAGTTCATTCATTCTCGTTCATTGATTTCGACAAGTAGAGGAGGGGGGAGGGGTGGGGGAAGAGGTGGGGGTGGAGGAGGAGGGGGATGGAGTAGAGGAGGAGTATACGGGGTGGGGAGGGGGAGGGGGAGGGGGAAGGGGACCGGTTGAAGTACCGGCACAGGTGGTGACATGACAGAACGAGGGACGGGGTGTGCAGGCCGTGTAAAGGCGAGTGCGAGGGCAAAGGGGAATGCGCAGGAGGAAGAGACCAGAGGCGGTGTGGTAGAGATCACAGTAGGAAGCAAATCCAGGGTAAATGGCGGTAATACCAATGCCTTGGAGCTCACGATGGGAGAGGAGGTTATTGCGAAGGGTGGGGATGCGGAGATCTGTGACTGTACCAGACGGGAAAGCGGTGCAAGGAAGGGTGGAGATGTGAGTGCAGGGGATGGAAAAACTGGAGTCGGCACCATGAACCTGGGTGGGAAGTGGAAGGGGGGTGAAGGTACCAGCGTCTTTGAGTGCAGTTTCGGTGGCTCCACTGTCAAGAACGAAGTCCAGGGTGTGGGAGGAAGGAGAGGGAGGTGACGCAGAGTACTGGAGAGACGTCTCATGGAGAGAAGGGGGATACAGCGGCTGGTGCTGCTGCTAGAAGCACTGCTGTCGCTGCGGCTGCTGCTGGAGAAACTGTGGCTGCTGTTGCTGCTGCGATTGGAGAAACTGTGGCCGCTGCTGTTGCTGGAGGCACTGCTGCTGCTGCGGCTGCTGCTGCCACTACGGCTGCTACTGGGGAAACTGTGGTTGCTGCTGCTGCTGGAAGCACGGCTGCAGATGTGGCTGCTGCTGCTGCTGCTGGAAGCACTGCTGCCGCTGCGGCTGCTGCTGGGGAAACTGTGGTTGCTGCTGCTGCTGGAAGCACTGCTGCAGCTGTGGCTGCTGTGGCTGGAGAAACTGTGGCTGCTGGTGCTGCTGGAAGCACTGCTGCCGTTGCGGCTGCTGCTGGGGAAACTGTGGTTGCTGCTGCTGCTGCTGCTGCTGGAGCTGCCGAAAACGCTGCAGCTGGGGAGGGGGGGAGGGGGTGAGTAGGCGGAGGTGAGCAGGAAAGAAGGAGGGGAGGGTCGAAATGTGCATGAGGGAGGGGCGAGGGGTAACACTGGTCCAGCGAGGAGGGGGGGGAGGGGCAGGGGGGGTAGCAGCCATGATGGGCGACGGCGGGTGGACCCACGGCGGTCAAGGGTAGGGCGACGGCGGGTGGACCCGCGGCGGCCAAGGGGGGGTTGCTGCTGCTACTGTTGCTGCACTCCTCCTCCTGCTGCTGCTGATGCTGCTGCTGCCGCTGCACTCCTCCCACTGTTGCTGCTGCTGCCGCTGCACTCCTTCTGCCGCTGCTGCTGCTGCCGTTGCGCACCTCCTGCTGCTGCTGCTGCTGGTGGTTCGGCTGCTGCTGCTGCTGAGAAGGGGGGGGGGAGAGGGAGAAGAGGAGGGAGAGGGGGAAGGGAGGGTGCAGCTGCTGCTGCCGCTGTTGCCGCTGCTTCCGCTGCTGGTGCTGGAGGAGGAGAGGGGGGGGGGGGGGAGAGGGAGAGGAGGAGGGGGAGGGGGAAGGGAGGGTGCAGCTGCTGCTGCCAAGGGGAGGGGGAGGGAGAGGGAGAGGAGGAGGGAGAGGGGGAAGGGAGGATGTAGCTGCTGCTGCTGCTGCTACTGTCCAACAGCTGCCCAATGTAGTTGACCACGTAGCTGGTAACTGCATGCACCGACACATCCACGTCCTCCCCACTCTAGCGCTGCTGCTGGAGCTGGGGCACTCCGTCGGCTGCTGCTGCTGCTGGACCCCTCCGGCTGTTGTGGCTGCTGCTGTTGCCCCTACTGCCGCTGCTGCTGCTGATGGAGCCGCTGCCGCTGCTGCTGCTGCTGCTGCTGCTGTTGATGCCGCTGCTGCCGCTGCTGCCACTGCTGCCGCTGCTGCTGCGGCTGCCGCTGCTGTCACTGCTGCTGTTGCTGCCGTTGCTACGAGGAGAGGGGAGAGGGAGAGGAGGAGGGAGAGGGGGAGAGGGGGAGGGGAAGGAGGGTGCAGTCACGGGTGCGGCTGGCACGGCTGCCGCTACTGTCACTGGTGTTGCTGCTGCCGGGGATGCCGCTGCTGCTGCTGCTGCTGCTGCTGCTGCGAGGAGAGAGGAGAGGGAGAGGAGGAGGGAGAGGGGGAGAGGGGGAGGGGGAGGAGAATGTAGGCACAGGTGCGGCTGGCACGGCTGCCGCTGCTGCCACTGATGTCGCTGCTGCCGCTGCTGCCGCTGTTGCCGGGGATGCCGCTGGTGCTGCTGCTGCCGCTGCTGCCGTTGCTGCCGCTGCTGCCGCTGCTGCTGCTGCTGCCGCTAATGCCGCTGCTGTAGCTGCTGCCACTGCTGCGAGGAGAGAGGAGAGGGAGAGGAGGAGGGAGAGGGGGAGAGGGGGGAGGGGGAGGAGAATGCAGGCACGGGTGCAGCTGCCACGGCTGCCGCTGCTGCCGCGGATGTCGCTGCTGCCGCTGATGCCGCCGCTGCTGCTGCTGCTGCCGCTGCGGCCGCTGCTGTTGCTGCCGCTGCTGCGAGGAGAGGGGGGAAGGAGAGGAGGAGGGAGAGATTGGAGTGGCAGCGGAATGCGCAGGGGGGGAAGGGGGGGGGGGGGGGGGGGGGCGACAGGGTCACGAGGACGGGGTGAGCAGGCGGCGACGAGGTGGTCGCGGCGGCGGGAATGGGAGGAGGTGACGATGCAGTCGCGGCCGCGGAAATCACGGGCGACGAGGGCGCAGTTGCGGCGGAACTGGCGGAAATCGCGGCGGCGGTATGTGCAGGCGACGACTTGCAGTCACGGCGGCGGGAACCGCAGGCGGCGAAAAAGTAGCCGCGGGGAGGGAATGGGCAGGCGGTGACAAGAGGTCGCGGCAGCGGGACAGGCGGCCAGCGACGAAGAGGTCGAGGCAGCGCGACAGGCGGTCGGCGAAGAAAAGGTCGCAGCGGCGGGACAGGCAGCCGGCGACAAAAGGTCGCACGGCGGAAGAGGGCAAGCGACGACAGGAGAGGTCGCGGCGGCTGGGAGGGCAGGCGGCGACGAAGCAGGTCGCGGCGGCGAGGAGGGCCAGGTTGCGATGGAAGGGTCGCGGCGGCCGGGAGGGCAGGCGGCGACGGAAGGGTCGTGGTGGCGAAATTAGAGGGCGGCGACGTAGCAGTCGCGGCGGTGAAATCCGCAGGCAGGAAGTCGCTGGCGGCGAAATCCGCGGTGAGGGAAATGGCGATGGAAGGGAGGCCATGGCGGAAGGGCACGGGCGGCGGCTGAAAGGCCGCGGCGAGAAAGCGCCGAGATGGGAAGGGGGAGGGGGACGGGGGCGACTGCAGGGTCGCGTCGTTAGGGAAGCGGATGGCGGGCCCTTGGAAAACAAAAACTAGAGGGGGAGGAGGTTGCCTTAGGAAGGACTTAGCTCTATACCATGTTAAGAACTGAAAAAGAATGATTAGTTTGATTAGAGAGAAGAACAAGCATACATAGGTTTGGAAGAGAAGGTTGGAAGGGAAAAGGAGGGAGGTGGGATTGGGGGATTGGGCCAACCTATGGCCCATTGGGTTTGGTTGACCACACTTGGGGAAGTGGGGTTAACCTATGGCCCAATGGGTTGGGTTGGCCTCACTTTGTGAAGTGGGGTACCCTATGGCCCATAGGGTTGCATTTGGGGGCTCCACCACAATTGGGTTGGATTGGCACCCCAAAATGCAAGACTACACCCAAAGTTGGGTGTAGTCCCAACCCAACTGTACACCACAATTGGTATACAGTCACAAGTGTTAGCATGCTAGAACATAGGAGTTCTAACTTCTTCCACTGTAAATTCTCTTCCCGTCGCCCTCTCTTCCACCGTGAATTTTCTCCCCCTCACCCTCTCTTCCACCGTGAATTCTCTCCCCCTTGCTCTCTCTTCCACCGTGAATTCTCTCCCCCTCGCTCTCTCTTCCACCATAAGTTCTCTCCCCCTCGCCCTCTCTTCCACCGTGAATTCTCTCCCCGTCGCCCTCTCTTCCACCGTGAATTCTCTCCCCCTCGCCCTCTCTTCCACCGTGAATTCTCTCCCCGTCGCCCTCTCTTGCACCGTGAATTCTCTCCCCCTCGCTCTCTCTTCCACCGTGAATTCTCTCCCCCTCGCGCTCTCTTCCACCGTGAATTCTCTCCTCCTCGCTCTCTCTTCCACCGTGAATTCTCTCCCCCTCGCTCTCTCTTCCTCCGTGAATTCTCTCCCCCTCGCCCTCTCTTTCTCCGTCAATTCTCTCCCCGTCGCCCTCGTGTTCCCTGTTAACTCATTTCCCTGCCTTCCACTGCTCGACGCCATCGCCTTCCCTCCCGTTTTCCTTCTCATCTCGCACACTTGTCACGTATACCCCTCCCCTGCACTGCCACCCTCTGTCCCTCTCCCGCCCATTCTCTGCCCGGCTTCCCACCCTGCTCACTCCCCGGCATCTGCCCCTGTCACCCCCATCCTCTTCCCTGTTTCCCCGCACCCCCTGCTCTGAATCCCCCCACCCTCTGACCTGCTTTCCCCCACCCTCTGCCCTGCTTCCCCCCATCCTCTACCCTGCTTCTCCTCACCCTCTACCCTGCTTCCCCCAACCCTCTACCCTTCTTCCCCCCATCACCTTCCCTGCTTCCCACCAACACCTTCCCTGCTTCCCCCCACCCTTTACCCTGCTTCCCCCCATCCCCTTGCGCGCTTCCCCCCATCCCCTTCCCTGCTTCCCCCCAACTCCTTCCCTGCTTCCCCCATCCCTTTACCCTGCGACCCACCATCCCCTTCCCTGCTTCCCCCCATCCCCTTCCCTGCTCCCCCCCATCACCTTCTCTGCTTCCCCCCATCCCCTTCCCTGCTTCCCCCCATCCCCTTCCTTGCTTCCCCCCATCGCCTTCCCTGCTTCCCCCCATCCCCTTCCCTGCTTCCCCCCAACACCTTCCCTGCTTCCCCCCATCCCCTTCCCTGCTTCCCCCCATCACCTTCCCTGCTTCCCCCTATCCCCTTCCCTGCTTCCCACCATCCCCTTCCCTGCTTCCCCCCATCCCCTTCCCTGCTTCCCCCCATCCCCTTCCCTTCTGCCCCCCATCCCCTTCCCTGCTTCCCCCCATCCCCTTCCCTGCTTCCCCCCATCCCCTTCCCTGCTTCCCCCCATCCCCTTCCCTGCAGTCGACGGGGGAGTTCGTGTCGCACATGCTGAGCCGTGATGTGTGGGCCGTGCAAGCTGTCAAGGAGACCATCCCCACCTACTTCCTCATCTGGCAGGTCCTCCCTCTGCTCCTCCTCCCATGCCTCCTTGTGACGTGGTGCATTTCCCATGTCATGGCAGGTGGTTCTGCCAGGTCATTATGTGAGGGGCAGATGATTCGCCCATCCCCTTCCACGGCTCTCACACGCATCACCTTTCCGCTCTTCATACCGTATTATTCCGGCTATAGGACCCGGGGGACTTTCTACAAATGCAGGAAACATAGCTAGGGTGGGCATGTAGGTGGCATACAGTTTTTTAAGACCCGGGTGTGCTTATTTGAATATAAAATTTACTGGATTTACCATGCACAGTTCCTGTACGGGGGGGGGGGGGGGGGGGGGGGTGGGGGGGGTCTTCTATTTTACACACTCAAATCCCACATTTCTAGCCTCACGAGCGCGACAGTCTGGTGTGACACGCGTCGAGAGACGAGGCACGATGGTGGTTTGTCGCCCGAATTCAGCAAACCGCCTGATCCTCTTGACAGAACTGTACCCAGCCTGGCCACGTCTCTCTTCCCTTCTTTCACGAGGGTTTGACAGAAGCTGGACGTGATGTGCTACGGGAATCACATCCAGCAGCCTGCCGAGCAGATGGACTCTCTTTTCGTGGCTTCAGTTCTTGTGCTTCAGGTTCGTGACACCTCTGAAAGCTACTACAAGACCCCATCAGCAGACACACTTGAAACATGTTAGAGTAGTGTCGTAGCGTACCGTAGTACCATGGCGGCCTTTGAATCCCTTTGGTGTAGCCGCCATTCGAGCCTTGGCAGTCCGTCCAAGCAGCCTGCTATAGTGCTGATAACAAGCCCATCGCCGCCAGCACCACCTGCGCCTCCTGCGCCGATTGTGCAACCTCAGGCTTTCATCGACTATCGCAAGACTCCTTTGTTCAAACCCTCTCACGAAGGTTTTCCCGAGCCAGAGGACGAAGATGACACCGCCGCTGAAAACGACGAGATGGAGCAAGAAGTGGGGGACTTCCCTGTCCCTATGTTCCCCCTGGATCTCGTCCACGAAGAAACGGGCCCCACGAGCCATGTTGACGGTGCACCGTCCAGTACTCGTGCGCGCAAGACATCTCACCGTCGCACGGCGCGAACGATGGGAGAGAAACAGGAGTGGCTAGCCCGCATGGAGCAGGAGAATCTCTCCGTACGACACACTGCTTGTTTGGCCGGGGTGCAGCCAGTCAGCGTCCGCCGATGGATTAAGGTGGCGGAGCGTATCAAGACAGCAGATCCGAGCAGGCGCCGCCTTAGCGGGGGGGGGAGGAAGGCAAAATACCCGGGCATGGAGGCGGCTGTGTATAAGAAACATCTCAGTTTCCGCGGCCGGGGATTAGTTGTCCCCATCCGAATCATCCGGCAGTGGAGTCGCTTGTACATGAAGAATCACCGTCCGGACGTGAGGTGGATGGCGTCCCAGCGCTGGACTTTCCGCTTCCGCGCACGATACGGCCTGACCATCCGTGTGAAGACAAAGATGGGGCAGCGCCTTGCTAAAGGTGAGAGTAAAGAACGACCGCTCATGCAATTTCTGCCATGTTTCGTGCGTTTGATGTTGTCAGCCGGTGAACGCGATTAAACTCTAACTAGTGTGTTTCGTTGGCTCTTTACAGATTGCAAGCCGAAGTGCGAGAAGTTTTGGGCCTTCGTGAGGAAGAACATCATCAAATGGGGCATTGACCCATGGAACATTGTTAATGCTGACCAAACGCCAGTCTTCTTGGAGATGCCGTGTGAGCGGACTCTTCACCACCGCGGGGAGAAGACGGTGCATGTTCGTAGCGCGGGCTACGAGAAGGAAAGGGTGACAGTGATGCTCGGCATCACTGCTGAGGGCCGCAAGCTCCCCGCTATGGTCATCTTCAAGCGGAAAACCATCCCTAAGCTCCGTGTTCCCCCAGGTGAGCGAAGCGCCATGTTGAATACGTGGGAACACTTGTAGCAGTCCTCATCTCGTGAGTCTCGTATGGTTCCTTTGGCAGGAGTGGTCATCAAAGCGCAAGAGCGAGGTTGGATGGATTCCAAGCTCGTCGAGGAGTGGGTCAACCAGATCTTCCTCCCTTTCATCAAGCCTCCCGTTGGCCGCCGTCGGTCCAAGACGCTCCTGGTCTTGGACTCGTATCGGGGACACCTCACGGATCGCGTGCTCGCGAACCTGAGGTGGAACCGGGTCATCCCGTCCATCATCCCCGGGGGGTGCACCCCTCTGCTGCAGCCCTTGGATGTGAGCGTGAACTGCTCGTTCAAGGCGGTGCTTCGCTAACTGTACAACGATTGTTCGCTGAAGTCGGTGTCAACACCTTCACGCCCGCAGGTGAGCCTAGGCAGCATAACGTTGAAGCGTGTAATCCCTGTCATACGGTTTTCCCCCTGTTCCCTAACGCATTTTACCGTGCACACCTCAGGAAACTTGAGGAAGCCCCCAGCCGAGATGGTTTTGAAGTGGATCGCAATTGCCTGGGCGCAAGTGCCCACGTACATCATCGAGCGCTCTTTTCTCACCACCGGCATCAGCAACGCTGTAGATGGAAAGGAGGATCACCTCATCCTCGCCCACATGCGGGATGGTGGCGAGGTTGAGGTGGCCGATGATGTTCACACCGCTCCTGAGGTGGAGGAGTGGGTGAACCCCCTCTTCGCCACAGCCGCTGAGGACGCGGCGGTGGCTGAGGCGATGGATCATGAGGATTGTGGGGACTTGCCGCCTGAGGAGGAGGAAGAGGAGGATGACGAGAACGAGGACGAGGATGAGGAGGAGGAGGAGGAGGAAGAGGAGGAGGAGGAGGAGGAGGAGGAGGAGGAGGAGGAGGAGGAGGAGGAGGAGGAGGAGGAGGAGGAGCTGGACATGGAGGGGGATGTGGAGGAGAACGACGAGGAGTGAGAGACATGTTGGTGGCTAGTGGCAGGGGAAGAGTACGGTAGATTTGCATGTATAGGTATCGGATTGCACTTGAGCAGGATTGCTTCAGATAACGTTTGCTCTAACTGGTGTAGGTTCCAAGGTTATTTTGGACATCAGTATTATGATTCATAGTACTAATGCAGTAATAGAAAAACTCCCAGTAATGAAACACACTCTAAACAGTCGAGGGGGGTCTTATAATGTTTAGGGGCAAAAGGGGGGTCCTCACATTTTGGTACCAAATTAAGAGTCTCAGTACCCTATAGAGAGTCCCGGGGGACCCTTTTACCGGCGGGTCCTATAGCCGGAATAATACGGTATCCTCCCTCAGATTCCTCCTCACATTTCTTGCGGAACCCTTCTCTGCATTTTGCCTGAATAAGGGTCTGCCTGCGTGTGTGCCTGCCTGCGTGTGTGCGTGCGTGCATGCGTCTGTGTCTGTGTGTGTGCATGCGTTCATGTGTGTGTGTCTGCAACGCCTGACAGCCAACACTTTGCAGGCAACTGTTTTGAAGCTGGATTATGGGGCAGGGGTAATGGAGTGTGCTGTGCGGCATGGTCAGTACGGAGTGGCGTGGGAGGAAGGCGCAAAAAGGGAGGGTTAGCTGGTTGTAGGGATTGACTTGTGGGTCGTGCTTTGTTTTGTGCAGGAGGTTTATAGGCTGAATTGGGTTTACCTGTTATGATACGGTTTACAAGGTGTCCGATGTGTACCATATCTCAGTGTTGACCCAAGCTCCTACGCGTAATAAGAGATGAAGAGATGAGCTTGTACGGTACCTAGCCGTGTAAGATATTATCCCCTACCAAACATACACAACATAGCCAAGGTCAAGCTTAGTATCCAACAATTGGCTTGGTATAAAGGCGTGTCATACATGGTGAGTACACAGCACGTGAATCACTGTTCAGGCTGGTAAGTAGCACTTCAAATCGGTGAAGCACACTTGACGTTATAGAACGCACAACGGAATAGCCAGCCGCTTAGAATGAGCTGCAAGTTCACCAAGCATGACACGCCCTTAGAGAAACAACTTGCTGTTGCCTATAAACGGGGATCAATTTCACCAAGATACATTAGGGTATTCATGCGGAGCGACACTCAAGACGGTCGAGCTGAAAATGTCCCGGAAAACCCAGCAGAGAGGAGTGGTGGGGAGTGGCGGTGTCAGGCAAATGTGAGGAGGGGAAGAGGGGAAATTCGGAGAGGCTCTCACTGCTGCTGCTGTGCAATGGCCTGAGTGGCGGCAGGGGGAGAAGGGGGATGGGGGGGTCGGGGGGGGAGTGGGGTGGGAGGCAGAGGAGAAGAAGATGGCGTAAGGGGAGCTAAGAACAGGGAGGAGGGGCAGCAGGCAGTTTTGATGACGTGCCTGGAGTACCAGACATGGCTGGTTGAGAAAGACCTGTTTCACACACGCATTTGCACCTCGCATTGCTGAGCATGAGGCACCACGGAGGGATGGTTGGTTGACAAACAGCAAAAGTGCAAATGCAGCAGAGCCAAGTACCGCTATGCGAGAGGAACCAGTGATGGCTGGACGGCAAATCAACACTAGATCAACACAGCAACAACTAGTGCTGCGAATAGCTTTGCGCCAACTGACCTGCCAAGGTGGGGGTGCGATGTGATGTTGTTCCTATGGCAGCCTTATGGATGGATGACAGACAAGTCCTTCTGTCTCGCTGGAAAGGGGATGAAAGTGGGAGAGTTGAAATGGCAGCGGCACCCAGTGCTGCGGTGCCCGCGGCACGAGTGAGGCATGCAAACCCAATTAGATGGAGGCTGTGACATTAGCAGTGACGCCCACAGGCTGTGAGATTCGCAGCAGTGATCCCATGCGTTGAACCAAGGAAGAATGACCACATGTTTTGACATGAGCTTCAGTAACACGAGCTGCGACACATGAGTAGAAGTGACCACATGCTCTACGAGCATGTACGGGGGCCTAACCACAAGGTTGTGACATGACGCTGCAGTGATTACATGCTCTTCCATGAGCAGCAGTGACCATGTGCTGTGTCATGAGCAGCAATTCCACCCCACATGCTCTGCGATGTGCAGCATTGACCACATGCTGTGTGATGAATCACAGGTGACCCCAATGGCTGTGACGGTTGATGTAGTGCCGACACCTGTTGTGACAGTAGCAGAATTGCCTCGGCTTGCTGTGACTATAGAGGCTTTGATGCCTGTTACTGCGACAGCAACAGCTCAGTTGCGACTTGCAGGGACCTTTGTGCTGCAATCTATCACATGATTTCTGTGAGATAACAACAGCAGCGACGGCTTCCGTTATGCCCGTTGCTGCACATGTAACTGTCTGGTTTTGTCAGTGCCAAATTGGTGCACCGTGAAACTCAGCGGTGAATCACGCGGGTATTGCAACGACAGCTGTTTGTGCTGCAAAATTCAAGACACGTTGTGTCACTGAAGACGCTTGACCTGGTGACAATACTAATCCCTTTGCCACCCGCTTACAGCTTCTAGTTGCGTCACGTTCGTAGTGCAGTTCATCGCCCTATAACTCTGAGCTCCTCTCTTAGTCTTCTCCCTGGCGAGCGCCGTTACCTCCCTCCTACCACAAGCGCATGCCTATTGTCGCTTAGGTCCTGCGAACTATCGTCGTAAGTCGGAGGCATTGGGGCATTGAATCGCCTCCATGAGTTCCACTGATTGCTTACGCCGCAGATACTCCGCTTCTACCAATGCTTTCTTTGACATCGTAGAGAGTAGACCTTTCCGATCGCCACTTTGCTGCCGTGTGAGTATGCCTCCCACTGATCGATCTCTCTCAAACTCAAACCCTCCTTCTTTCCGTACTCCAAACGTTTATCCTAAACGTAAGTTGACTCCTCATGCGCCGCGGTATCACGCGCACGGAGCGCTTTATTGTTGTATCACCCTGCCAAAGAACTAGCATGGCTGGTAGTCGAGGGACCTATCAGTTCCTCCTGAACACCTTCAGGCACGTAATATTACGTGGCTGGAGCTATCGTGTCGCATTTGCGGCTGGTGCTGGTTTCTACCTACCACCTGTCCGCGCACCAATCCCTTTTCACCGAGCGAAACACGGCTATTTTGTTGTTCTCGTCCCTTTCAGTATGTGTGCAAAATGCTCTTCTGTTGCACAGATGTATTTTTAGATGTGTGGTTGGCTGCGATGCCACACCTCCAAGTCGCGAGCATTCTCAGTCAGGTCTCTGCCATTTTCGCCCTGCATCGCTAGGGGGTTCCCCTTTTCCCAAGTGTTCCTCGCACAATTTCTCCCATCGTGTCCCATTTTCAGGCGCTTGAGGTGTCTCTTGCTTCCCATATTCGTGGAGTAAGTTGTCGCACAAGGACTGTGACGAATTCTAGTTTTGTTCGTTAGCTGATTTGGCCCTTGCTCCGTTCTTTGCCTTTCGCCAACACTGTTAAAGCCATTCGTCGATTTTCACAAAAACCATGCTGATCTCGGGCTTTAACGTCGCATCTTGTTCATCAGCAATTGAGGGTTCTTGGTGCGAATGATAGAAACCAGCATACATCATTCCCGATCTCTCCTTTCACCGTAGCCATGCACAGGGCACGCAGGATATTGAGAGAATTGCGAGGGCCTTGTTTGGTGATTCGCTCTTGCCCAAGTGTCCCCGAATTGCTCGCATGGCTATCCAATTCAGTTATAATTACTCGAGCGGCCACGCCAGGGCATTTTCAAGGTGCTTTTTTAGTATAACTAAACACGTTAACTGACTGACATATTATTATAACTTAGCATCATGCGGTTTGATGCTGGTCAATTGAGGTTTATGATCACGGATTTACTGCCCGAGCGGTTATTGGTTACGACTTTAATTGACCACAAGCTCATTGGTCACGCATTAGGCCAAAAATGACCGCGCATCTACTGTTGGTTGTGCATTTTTGTCGATTTTGTGTATGTTAGAATATTGACCGAATGAATGTCTGAACTAGCAAACAGGTGGGTACAAGTAGGAAACCTATAAGTGTTGTACCCTATAAGAACTACCCCACTACAGCCTATATAGACTATAGCATATATGTTTGACACACCCCCATAGGCAAAGTGGGGGAGAACAAGAGGTCACAAGACCAGTCAAGAAAGGCAAAGCAAGCTCAGGGTGGATCACAAAGTCACCACGCAGTCTGAGCACAAGCAAATGGCCACAAGGCCAGTTCACATGCAGAGTTATATAAAGGAGAACAAACAATACAGTGAACACAACCTAGGAAGTGTAAGCATGCAGGTATATGTATAAAGAGTACAGTACAAGCTGAGTCAAGAAGTAAGCAAGTGAGGCATAGTAGGTACAAGGCCTAGGACAGTACAGAAACGCTGATGATCACAAGGCTGAAGTGCCTTGGTGAAAACATCAGCAGTGTTGGCCGGTGAGGCCACGTAAGCAAGACAAAGCTGGCCACGCTGCTGTAGCTCTCGAGCAAGGAAGCAGCGTAGAGCAATGTGCTTCGTTCTGTGCTCCACTCTATGCTCCTGACACAAGGCAAGCATGGCCTTGTTGTCGACGTACAGAACTGGAGGAGAACGAGGCGCCTCTCCCAAGTCGGTCAGCAGGTAGGTGAGCCAGCGTAACTCCTGTGCAGCCATGGCCCCAGCGTAGATCTCAGCCTCACAACTGGAGCTGAGAACAGAAGACGAGCGGGTAGACCGCCAAGAGACAGAACCGGAGCCAAGGCTGAAGGTGTAACCCTGTGACGACCGCTGCGTAGTCAAGTCGTCAACCCAGGAGGCGTCTGCGTGACCAGTGAGGACAACTCGAGCCCATCCTCCAAGCACGAGCCCCATGCCCGACGTACTGCACAAGAAGCGCAACACCCTCTTCGCAGCATCCCAGTGCACCTTTCGGTGCCTACCGGGAGCCACGTAGCGAGCCAGAAGGCTGAGAGGGTATGCAAGGTCAGGTCGTGTGCAAGTCATCAGGTACATGAGGCAGCCCACAAGCTCTGGATACGGGCCACT